AACGGGAGGATGACACACGGGGTAGGAACATATATCCAAAGTTTCAGCCTCCCAGCTTTCCTGGTTTTTGAGATGAAAGTGGGTGACAAAATGCACTCGCTTTCCGAACCAAAAATGCATGATCGTACCGACTCGGCTGGTACGTTTCAGCTTGGGTTTGCTTATAGGTCGGCCGGCTTGATTTGGCGATCCTGATTGACTGCACCGAACAGTTCTGCACTGAAAGCATTAAGAAACGGAGAGAAACCAGCAAGGAGATACGGCCCGGTAGGAATGATGATTATTATTCTAAGAATAATGATTATTATAACTCGTCCTTTAAGAATAATTTCAAGAATAATGATTATTATAACCCGTCAACCCACAGTTGTTCTTTTAAATCAATGTTAGTCGTAAGTTCAGCACTACGATTCTGTAGGCTAAGTTCCGGAGCATGGCACTTGAGCGTATTTTACATTCCCCTCAAATTGTACTAACGGAAAGTCATATTGCTCGCCTTGCTGTGCGTAGCAGATAGAGGTGGACACTGCGCATTAGCATAGCACTGCCGGCCTGCAAAACGTCCAGGATTCAATTCGATCAGTGAAATAATCAGTTTTGCTACGATTTGTTCGTTCGTCCCGATAGCAAATTGGTACTGGCGCATGCGTGCAATTCTTAAATCGTCAGCTGCAAAATAAGTCCTAAATCTACCAGCTTGCTCGTAAGCAGTCCTCGATCGAAAAGAACCTTCGGCAGCCTTATCAGCTAATGATTGCTTTCGGCATTTGCTAGTGCTTGGGCTTCTTCCGAGTCCCTGCATCTCTCATAGGGAGAAAATATGAAGAGTGGTAATGGTGAGAAAGTAAGCGATTACCTGTATGATCCCCCGAAGAAATAGTGTGCAAACACAGGAAAGGCAATTTGTAACAGCTGGAAACGGGACAGGAAAAGTGACATAGCTGTGCTAGGTTTCGGCATGCATCAGTAGCACTGCTTGTATCGAATCTCCACACTGACTTCAGGAGCATACTGGTCATTTTCAAAGTACTCATGTGCTTAGAATGAGAGTTCTCAACTGCGTCGAACGGAGTTTATTTCAGTGACCTGTAATCATCTTTCTACCAACTTTACTGTCCCAAAAAAACAGGAAATTGAGCAGTTGCTTCGCCCACTATCAGTTTCCTGCGTGCTTTTTGTGACCTATTTATCTTTGAAAACTATTACAAGATGTGTATGCGGCAAAGCGAAGGCGGAGGGAGGCGGGGGGAGAGGGGGGTCAATCCAGTATCATTTCGTATCAACGTATGTTTGAGAACCCATCAACAAAAAGTAAAAGGGAAAAATAATTATGCTAGGATTGTCCGGAAACTTGGCTGGTTTTGCGAAAAAGTGACTGTTACAGATGACGCACCAGAAGTGGTGAATACTCGCTTGGAGGTATTCAAGCAGAATACACTACCGATGCTGAAATATCTGGATGACAAAGGGAAGCTTAAAGTGGTACGTGTGAACAAGGTTTGCTATGTCTCTGTGCTGAAGCTCTACCTAACAGTATAAATCTGATCCAGCAACCTGTCCAGATCTCCTTTTATTCTCTCTGCCTTAAGCACTCAGAACGTATGGTACGTTAGAAACAGTAAACGGATGGGTAAAAATGGAAGGGACCGGAAATAGTACTGGAAGCGAAGGAAGACCGCGAAGACGTTCGGGACTCTGCTTCATACTTCTACCGTTATGTATGCACATACTTTTAATAAGTAAGTGTTATCAGTCCAGGTTGATGGTGACACTGATTTGGATAAAGTATTCGAGGATTGTGCCATGGCGATCGACAGCGCTATTTTTATTGAAGGTAGCTTTTTTCAGTTATCCAATTTCAATAATACAATCTTCAAGGAAAATTAAATTACTGCAAAAAAATCTGCTCTGATTCTAACTCTTATCGACAAAAATGCTTGTAGAGAAGGAGAACGGGAAAAGTCTGTCATCTTCTAAGCCATCACGTGATGGTAACGTGAAGCAGCAGCAGCAGCAGCAGTAGCAATCTGTGATACTCATAATATTTTATTTGTACACATCAGTTCGTGTATTTTCAGGATTTGAATTTTGCATCGTTAAATGAAAGATTTCGAAACCAAAAAGTTGAATTTCCCCATTTTTGTGCTATTTCGTATCAGGCGCGCAAATATGCATGATTCTTTCACGTCAAATAATCTCATAAAGACAGGATCATGCAATAGTGCGTGACCGTGTACACAAACGGCCACTCATTATTGCATGTTCCTGTCTTTATGAGCTTATTTGTCTGCCCATTCGCTTAGTTCAAATTAAGAATTGCAAAAGCTAGGAAAAATTTCAAAGCCTAGTCCTTCGCAGTGTGCGCAGAATCATGTTGCAGACAGACCTTTCTGTGTTCCACGCTAACACACAGTCTCGGCCAATACTGTATGATTCCAAAGCTGCGAACTCTATGTTCTGAAGTTTCAGGACTGTACTGTACAGAGCTATTAGGCTAGGCTTAACTGCATTTCGAACTGTATCTTCCGAACTAACTTCAAGTCGATATAGCGAAAAACTCCAAATTTTAAAGTTTCAAGACCAGTGAAAGGGCAAATCACTATGCAGCAACTTGATTTGTAAATTTACGATCATAGATACCTATGTTGATAACCCGAGCGGACGTGGTGTTTCTGATAATAAGAATGATTTTGTAATAATTGATGAAAGAAAGATTTTTAGAAATCCTGCGATTTTGCCAATTTGAAGGCCTAAAATAGGAAATTCTAATTCCACTAACAATTTTTACTAATGAATTCACAGTCTAAAAAATTAGTAAAAAAACTAATTCTTTGTGAAATTTCAATGCTTTTGCGATAATTCTAATAACCTGAAGGTGCACTACATTGAAAAGGCAGCCGGCCAAAAAAACGGAGTAACACCTCGACGCCATTTAAAGTGTTTCACACAGTTATGGCAAAGATTTAATAAATAAAAAAAAACAATAAAAAGATAACTGAATTGGAATGTGGCTTTACTTTTAAAATTAGGAACGAAGGAAAAATTTGTCCATCAAAACATTAAATCGGTTGAATGAAATCTACGAAATTAAACTTTCTTTTCGGAATCATCCAAGAGCGACCGTTTATGTGTCTGAAAAAACGTTCGTGAGCATGATTCAAGGGCAATCGAAACTAGTGACAGTTGAAACGACGCAAAATGGAAGACAACAATAATAAAGACTCTTAAGCATAAAATCTGCGTAGATTTTGAGAACAAATAACATCGTCAAGTGAGCTAGGATGAAAAAACAGCTGATTAAAGTGAAGTGTAAGAGCACTGAAGATGAGACTGACCAAGGACATCAAATGCTGCACAGCACCAATAACAGTGTACAACGCTGAAGTGAGATGCTTTCGTTGAATAAATGAATGCTTACATTTAATGCAGCACTCAAAATGGAATAACAAATCGACTACAAAAAAAAAAAACAATGCATTCTTCAATCGCTAAAGCATGTAAGCTATAGGCCTGAGCTGATAGAAAGGGTCTCCCCCGCATCTGAGTTATCAAGCACTGTCAGGCAACCCCCTCCATCCCCCCCCCTCCACCCTC